AGGCTTTAGGGTTCAGGATGTAGGGTTTAGGGTTGTAGGGTTTAGGGGTGTAGGGTGTAGGGTCTTATGGCTGGACCAGGATTGTTTTGGAAACCCTAAACCCCGAACCCCCTAAACCCTAAACCTCGAAACCAACATAAATAACGCAACTCTAAGATCTGCAGGCTCCTATATCCCTGCTATCCCCGCTTCCTTGGCAAGGATGAAATACGGCTCAAGGGGGCTGGGTCCCTCAGTCTATGAGAGACGGAGTCGGGTGGCGCCCCCCGAAGGCACAGCATCACAAAATTCCGGGACCGTCTCAAGTTAAGGCTATGAAGGGTCTTAAAGAGGGTAAATGAAGGCCCTAAACCCTAAACCCTAAACCCTAAACCCTAAACCCTAAACCCTAAACCCTAAACCCTTTACCCTAACCCCTAAACCCTTTACCCTAACCCCTAAACCCTATACCCCAAACCCTAGGAAGGTCTAGGTTCTTGACCGGAAACCACCCAGACCCCATATTCTTCAGCATTGAGCAAACCTCTCCAGGGAGGAGCATCATAGGCTTTGGGGCTTTGGGTTTGGGGTTTTGGGTTCAGGGTTCTGGGTTTAGGGGGTTTTGGGCTTTGGGTTTTGGATTTAGGGGTTTCGGGCTTTGGATTTAAGGGTTTTGGGTTTTGGGTTTAGAGTTTAAAGTTTAGGGTTTTTGGCCTCTTATAAACTCTGAGCCATATATCTGCAAACCCAACTAGTCAACCCTGAAGCTCTCCCCCGCCTGTGCCAGGTCGAGGGGGTCGAAATTAATCACGTCCGGATCAGCCTCGGCGACTGGGGCTTTATAGGGTTTGTTAAGTTTCGTAGGGTTGCTTTTTAAGTAACAGTTGTATAGGGCTTGTGACGTTTCATAGGGTTGGCTTTACAGGGTTCTATAGGGCATCCTTTCTGGGCTTAGGGGTTTGGGAGGCCGGTTTAGAGCCTATAGGTCTGAGTTGGGCAGGTACCCGAGACACACGTTAATGTAGGGGCCAAAATAGTTTTGGGTGTTTCCTTGTTAACGAGTATAATTTGACATACACCAAACTTTATTCTAATTCTTAAGGCCCCTATATTATAGAGGTATCACAGCACATCAAAACCACCTGCTGCGCACAAACATCAGTGGCATCACAGCACATCAGCCCATCTACATATGTCTAAACCAGCCATTCCCATGTAGACGCACGAGTTCAAAAGGTGGGCTACAGTGTGTAGGGCCACGTACAGCTCGTCGAAACATCACCTCACAAGCCCAACCTACGACAGAAAGCACGAATCCACGTGTAGACACCCATCGAGTCAACGAGCAACGCGAGACAGTAGCAACAGCACGGTGGGTAATATAGGGGCCTTAATAATTAGAATAAGGTTTTGGGGTCCCACTCTACTATAATCATACTAGGGAACACCCAAAACAGTGTAGGTCATTATTCAGGCCCCTATATTACACGCCCCTTTGCAAGGGCAAAACCCAACGCAGACGCGACTTCAAACAGCACGGCCAGGCCAAGGGGAAGGAGCCGAGCCAACGTCCCCTAAAGCCCTACACCCTAAACCCTGAACCTTAAACTTCTATACCCTAAGGCCTGAAACCTCAAAGCCCCCCTTTTGATTTGCAGTCATGCTTGTGCCAAGCGTCTTGAGCAATGTGGCTGGCTTCCACATACAATGTCCTTAGCTATTGCTCCGTTTGAAGCGCCCATGCCGGAAGGACCCATAAAGCTGAGTATCTGCTGAGCTGGGTTGCAGCTTACATCCCTGTTTAAGGCCATCCCTAAACCCTGAACCCTAAACCCTAAACCCATCACAGGTAAAACCGTGAAGGAAAGCCAATTCGTCCAAAACTGCCACCTAGCGTGTCTGTGCACACTAGAAACAGGCAAACGCATCGATAAGCAAATAACTAGCATGTGTTAAATGAGTTATGTCTAATTATCTATCTACCTACCTGTCTATCTATCTATCAAACGATCTCACCTATCTTTATCTATCCTTCTATCTCTGTACCTCACTATCTATCTATCTGTCTATCTATCTATCTATCTATCTATCTGTCTATCTATCTACCTATCTATCTGTCGATCTAATTATCTAACTATCTACCTACCTATCCATCTATCCGTCTATGTATATACGTATGTGCGTATGTACGTATGTATG